ATGAATTATTAAATTAAGTAAATCGAAACCAAGTGTATCATAAGGCTTTTTTTATCCCTAAAACAGATCCAGCATCTAACAGAGGACTCAAACATGCACTGTGTGATACCATCTTATTTATTCAAAAGAAAATGAAGAAAGAAAAAAATGAAGGATTTCCATTGCGTGCAAATGATTCTATGATTCTGTTTTTAGAATGCATTTCCAATAATATCAATGATAAAATGTCATCTGGTATAAGAATATTTTCACTGTAATCCCTATAGGACTTGGAAAAAGGCTAACAGGAAAAATTTCTTTCCTCAAAGGCATTGATAATCAAAGGGTAAAATTTTCATCTTAATGCTGTGAAAAAGCCTTGATCCCAAATCATTTTTTCTGTTCTCTATTTTATAGGACTCTTTTGATACCACTAACTGATAAGTGTTTTCTAACCTTAACGACTCAGGGTTTTAAAAATTCATTATTTCAGCTTACTTTGATCAGAAGCCCTAAACACACCACTTAATGTTATAAAGGAAACAGATAATCTGACAGAAGGAAAACTGGCAAACTATGCCTATGCTTAGCTTGTTTATTTCAGAGACAGAATAACTCTTTGCTCAACCATCCTGCCAGAGAATTTTCAGACTTCCTGGTTTCAACGCTTCCTTCCACTGACAACCCAATTATTTTCTTGATTGTTTCTGTTTGCTTTATTCATTGCAATGTCTTAGTCCTTGCTCCATGATCCCTAAATAATACAAAAGAAACAGCAAAAATATGAGTTTCCATCCTGGAAACAACAAAAAAGTGTGTTTCTGAAGGGTGCTTTCAACTTTGGCAGAAGTCTACTCATCAAGCTTTTAATAGGATTCTTGCGCCAAAAATCCAAGCAACTTTTGCATATTCAGGCCTAAATGTAACTGCCACTTGTTCCCCTACCCCGGGGTCCATGGGAAATCTTATTTGTTGCTAGCCAGATTTGATTTCCTGTTTGTTTTCAGTTCTATTGATGCTGCTTTCTGACCTATCCTGGTGGAGCTGTTCTCCAATATTGCTCACAATGCTGGTTGATTATGCATGACAGGAAAGCACTACTCTTTTAGATTTTTATTTTTTAAATGCTTTTGTTTATTTGCTGAGCCAAACAAGTTATACCACCAAGAGTGCAATCCTTCCTGATTTTCTTTTAACAAAAGTATGGCAACAAAATTCATTCACACAGAGAAAAAGGTTTTAGAGACTCCCCATGACAATCTCTGAAGAAATGTATTTCTAATTTGCATTTCTGGTGATGAAAGAGTTAAAACTCTTAACATTAAAATTTTCTTTCTGACCCTAGTCCTCACAGGTACTGCACTAACTTGGCCATAAACAGCATGGGACAAAAATAAATAGATGACAGTTCCATTCCTCCCAGTGAGCCCTGACTCACCTTCTCTCAAACAGCTACTATGTACAGAGAAATGTATCTAAAACTAAAAGGCCTTCAGCCAGTGTGGAATAAACAACCTTGCTGATTTTTAACTGTGATGGACAACTATAGTTACAATCTTTCCCACACCCTTTTTCCCTTGTAAAAACCACAACCTTAAAAATTAAAAATAGAAATTCATAAGTATTCCTCTTTGCAATATCTTTCTGAAAGAGTAAAAGTCATCATATTATAGCAATGGCATGTATACTCTGTTTCTGGCCTTACAATTACAATACACAAAATTACAGCAGTGATAGATGAACAAAAGAAAAATGTGGTGTGTATATCCAATAAGATACTACTTAGCCAGAAAGAGGGATGCATGGGAGTCACATGTAGGAAAATGGATAGATTTGGGGACCATATGGCTGAGTGAAACAAATCAAACGTAAAAGGATAAATGTTACAGGTCTTCTTTTATCTGAGAAACACAAAATTTAAAAGTTTCAAGAGCCAAATAAAAGAGAGATGGAAGAAAACAGAGAGGTAGACTGTGGCGATGAGAAGGGAGTGTGAGAATGAGGTGCAGATGGCGTTATGATTTGTGTCTAGATGTTCCCCCAAAGACTCAGAAGTGATTGGGGCAGCTTCTGGAGTTTGTGATAGATTCTTTTTTTTTTTTTTTTCTGGAACCAGGGATTGAACTCAGGCCCTTGCGCTTGCCAGGGAAGCACTTATTCCACTGAGCCATCTCCCCGGCCCTGTGATAGATTCTTGATCAATGCTGGGATTATGGATGTGAGTGCCCTGGGGCAGGTAATTTGCATTACAATATAAGGAGAGGGAGAGGCTTGCTAGCTGCCTGAGCTGCTGCCACTCTCTTTGCTCTCTTGCTCTTTGCTGACTTCATGAACAGCTGTCCTCCATCCTGTGCCACTCTGCCTTGGGGCCAGCTGAGTATGACTGAAACCTCCACTGACTGTGAGCTAAAGAAACCTTTCCTTTGCTCATTTTGGGTGACAGATATTTTGTCTCAGCAATGAGAGAAAAGTAAATGAAACAGGTACAGGTCAAAGAGAAGGAATCTGTTCTACATGTAACGTGTGAATGTAATTATTAGGCATGACAAAGATACACCTATATATTTTCTAAACTGCTGATTTCTCACCATGACAGTGATGTTTTCTCTCAGAAATCACTTTCTGCTCTCTTGCAATGAACCAAACTCTTTACTTCTCTACATTCCCAACTCTGGGGATTTTTTCTGCCAGCCCCCTGTTTGCCAATTCTCGTGGGCCCATTCTTCATGGAGACTTTATTTTCCTGCACGGATCACACCTGTCTTTATTCTGCTTCTCTCCATTCTTTGATGGAAACTGCATTGGAAAATCTTTGAAATCACTATGAAACAAGTAAATTCATAAAAATCTTAATGAAATAACACTATTTTTTCGTGCACATTTAATGTCATACAAGCAAATATATTGAAAAAAGTGTTCTCCTTAAATTGTGCTGAGTTTAGCAACAATGCTTTGTACTTTATCTTGGAGGGTTAAAAAGCTTATTCTTATACCACTTTGTATCTCTGTAAAATTTCATACTCAAGCCCATATGCAGTGCTGACAATAAAGCAACAATTTCAGAGTCTCAAAAACTTAAATACTGAGTAGACATTTACATTTAGACAGCAGTATAAGCATAATTATAGAAATTTTAGTTAATAAATAAGCAGAGGTTACCTTCCTTCAATGCCCTAGCACCTATCAGAAAGATCTTTTGCTGTGATAAAAAGATACAGATTTCTATGTAAAGAAACAAAAGGGGATCCAAATGAAGGACCATTTTGTATCTGTATACACAAAATAGTTAGGATAGATATACAGCTACTTTCTCTTAATTCAATGAGAAGAAAGATTTGTACTAATAGTGTTTGGACAGAATATCATGTCTGCATCTTGTACTATGAATAACTACTATGAAGACAACAATATGCAATGTATTAATTATTGAAACTGTCCTACTAATTGGTTTTGAAACTGGCTCATTATTATTTGTTTCTCAATGAAATCAATAAAAATTAAGAGAAAAAGAAACAGAATGTTGTCTTTGTGATTTTCTATTATTTTAAAAAATCAAATTTTCTGAAGACAGACTCATTTGGAAATATTTTTAAACTGAATATCAGGCAAAGATTTTATTTTGTTTTATTTAATTAATTAATTGATTGATTTTTTTTTTTTTTTGGCAGAACTGGGGATAGAACTCAGGCCCTTGTGCTTCCCAGGGAAGTGCTTATTCTACTGAGCCATCTCCCCGGCCCCAAGATTTTATTTTACTTATGACAAATTGCTCTGCTATAAACATAGGTGTTTTCAGTCCTTTGAAAAAATACCCAAGAAGAGAATAGCTGGGCTGCACTGGACCTCTAATCCTAGCTTTTTGAGGAACCTCCATCCTGATTTCCACTGGTCATTGCTCCAGTCTACACTACCACCAACACTGGCGAATGGGTCTTTTTCCCCCATAGCCCCTCCAGCATTTGTCATTGGTTGGTTTCTTGATGACATTGTTGTTGGGGTGATATGAAACCTCAGTGTTGTTTTAATTTGCATTTATCAAATGACCAATCATGGTGAACATTTTTCATATATTTGTCATTTGCATTTCTTCCTCTGAGAAGTGTGTATTTATCTCAGATACACATTTTTTATAGGGTCTTTGAATTTTAGGGGCCTGATATTTTTAATTCTTTATATAGAATACTTCTGAATAGAAGTCTTTTGTCTGAGGGATAGTTAGCTAAAATGTTTTCCCATTTTGTGGTATTTTTGCACAATGGAGTATTACTCAACTCTAAAAAAGATAAACTCAAGGTTTTTGTAGGTAAACGGATGCAACTGGAGACCATTCGCATAAGTGAAATAAATCCGATTGCCGTGTGCATACTTTCTGCTGTCTCCCTAGGTTAAGAACCAGAAAGAGTAACAAAAAGCTCAAAGTACAACAGATACTGTGAAAGGGAAAGAAACTTCCCAAAGGGAAGGACTAACTGGGATGAGGGAAAGGAGAAAAAGAAACAAACAAACAAACAAAAACTATCTCTGTATATGCACAGGATAGCCCGGATAATTGTACTGCTGATTTTTATTGGTCTATTGAAAGGAACAGTCAATGCTTAAATCTTTTTCTCCTTTTTAAATTTTTGGCCAATTTTTCATGCTTATATCTTGTAATCTGAACAACTAATTTGCAGAGAATAATACGCAACATAACAACCATTGTTGAATTCCCATCATCTTGTATAATGAAATTGTGTATTGTTTCTAATCATTTTTATTATTTTTATTCTCTTCAAAAAATTAAAACTCAAACAGAAAAAGAATGATTTCATTTTAATATATGATTTTCAAACATATTTAATACACAGGGCTGAACTTCTCGATGTTGGCAAAATATTTCATTTTTGCTCTTCTTAGGTTTTTAAGAATATGACAAAACAAAATATAAAAGATGAATAATCTCCTTGAAAAATTTTGGGATTTAATAAGGTTGCTTCTCATGCTAAAATCTACTTTAAGACACAGGCTTAATAAAGACTTACCGTATTCACTGTCATAGAATATGATGAATTTCTGCCAGGCATACTCTGTGACCACTCTCAGGATCACATCATTCAAGTAGACAGGGGGCCGAACAGAGAGTGTGTAATCCTCATTCCTGTTGCTCCGAGTGAGTCCACAGCCACTCCTCGGGGTTCCTGCTGTTGAGCGCTGAATGAAGAGGTGCGGAATATGCATAGCATCTGCCAAAGATTGGAGGGACCCAGCCGACGTGCACCCGATGGAGCTGACCAGGGCCAAGATGCCTTGGTTCATGAGCTCACAGGCTGCAAGAGAGCACAGCATATGGAGAAGTCAGCTGGTCTTGTATATTTCTCTTTTTGGAGAGTACAGAATAAAAATTTACAGACCAATTAATAATGTACATTATTTTTTTCATGAGGAAAGGAACATTTTATATGTGTGAATCCTCAAATGACAAAAAACTGTGATATTCAGTTCAAGAATTCTGTCCTCATTAGCTATGTGATTGTGTGATTTCTTGGCTTCTCCGGGTCAGATTTGCCAGCTGCAAAGCGGGTGAAATCGGGTGAATCTGGTGGTATTGTTATGAGGATTGGAGACAGTGAGTTTCTGTTACTTACTTCTCACCTGACATTCCATTAATGATTGATGAACTTTTGTACTTATTAATTTATAATCCAGAAAGAATAATTCTTTATTTGGTGTAAGATACAGATTTTCAAAAAAGCAGATAATATACAAACTAGTGGTGAAATGAAGGGGAGATTAAGGGGTGGAGGAAGGTATTTCTGGTCCAGGGAACACAGTCACCATTGTGTCCAAATTTTCAAGGACAATTTCTTTTTTCATAAAATCGAGAAACAAACATATTTCTGTTTTCTTCATTGACTCTGAAAAAACTGTGTCTAATAAAACACAATTTAGAAACTATCACATTCGGTTCCTAGATGAATAATTTCTAGTTTGTATCACCTCTTATGATTTCAGTTTTAATTTTCCTATATTTGAAAATGTAGTTTCAAGCATATTTAAGGTTATGTAAAATAAAATTTTAATTAAAGATAAACACAGCATATATTGAGACTATAGTTATTAATAGGTGGCATCTTAGAATGCCCCGGTTTGTTAGAAAGAGGTCAGAAATAAGCACAGAAGTGAATTCAGGATGAATCGGTGCAAAATTGTATATATTTCAGAGATACAGGTGTTATAAATGGTTCATATTTCACTCTAAATTTATGCTTTCAAGTATAACATTTCTCAGATTTAAGACTTTATTATAGATTTTTTATATAATTGTTGAAAAACTTAAAGAAAATTTATATGGCAATCTGTTCAATGTAATTAATGAGCCTATTAATGAGCTGATTGAAAGTGTGAGTTTAGAAAAACAATATCAATGATAAGAACATACACATCATATGCATTCATTAATGTTAAGTCAACCAATGTACAGAAAGTAAATTAGTCATCATTAAAGACATCTTTTTCAAGCACTGCCTCATGAAAGAGATTATATTGATTTCAAATAAATGCTGAAGATAACATCAAGGGTGAATGCTTTCCAGATCATAAGTAATGGAGCTGAAATTTTAGGAAAATATTCACACATTCTATTTGTGTACATGAATCCAACATTTATTAATATAATATAA